TAATTATTTTCTCCATTTTTCTCAAGAAAATGTTGTGCTGCTTTTTCAAACTATTGTTTTCTTCATAATACAGACACTTCGATATTACCGCTTTAAATCCTCTATAGAGGGAGTTCATTTTGTAAGTATTTATCGCGTAAATAAATAGCAGGTTTTACACATCCCATGTACATAATTTTGAGAGTTTTCTGTTTTATTCTTTTAAGTGCATTTCAAGTAACTCACTTTGTGTCTGGGAAGGTAGGAATATTTTTGGAGAAATATCATAAAGTGTTCTCAGATGTATTCCTGGCAAGTGTAAATTCTTGAAAGACACGCAGAGACACCTCTAACCAATTATACCTATATTTCACGTATAGAAATCACACACAAAGGCATTTTTAGTGACATTTTTAGATATCCTGTACAGAAGCATGAGTTTCTCTCTGGAGGTATACTGCTCTTGCCTGTAGCATGTAGTACAGGAAATGCGTTGAAAATTATGTTTTTAATAGTTGTGGAAATATTGTAAAGAGGCAGAACTTTACTTAATATTTGCTGCTTTTCTCATCTAGATGCAAACCAAAGAGTGGACGTTTCTGTGTCAAGCAAGAAACATTCCTTGTTCTGATGATTTTTCCTGAACGACTACCTTGGGAGAGCCAGTGAAAATCAGAGCTTGGAATATTGCTGGGTTACCCTCTGACACATTTTCTACTGATAACGACATCATTATCTCGTAAGTAAAACGAATCTTCAAAAGCATGGTTGTTTTTAATTGCTTTCTTACAACATGCTTGTCTGTTAACTACCTGCGTAGACGGTTTTCTACTGCATACGTTTAAACTGCATAGCTGGTTAACAACCAGAGTTATATAATAAATAAATGACTGTGATGTTTCAATTGAAGAAATACTAATAATACCCTTCAACTTCATAATGTGAAGTTTTTAAATCTGTGAATTCCCTCTCCTCTTTTTAAACTCTTCAGGATTGCTGTAATGATACCAAAAGCAATGATATTTCACAGACGTGCTGCGTATGGGATTACTCTTCAGTTTAAGATGTTCTCAAGCACTTCACCCGTGCTTTGGACATCTCCATACATGCATAAACACAGGATAAAAAAAATCCCAAAATGATATTCACCTTCAAATTAATATATATTTCAGGTATTTATGACAGCGCTTTTTTGTTGATCAGTTCTTTGTAGCGGGTTGATTAAACAGAAGCTTTTCGCAGAAGAAATACAAAGTGATGAACGTTCTGTTCTAAAGCTTGGCTTTATCCTATTTTGAATTCATGAACGATGCAAGAAGTGAAAGAATAGAATTCTATGCTCATAGTATAATCAGTAGATACGAAAGTAATCATCCTTCAAAAACTAAAACTCTGTTAATTTAAAATAAATGTGCTGTCTGTTACTACCAAGGGGTGTTTCTGCAGGGCTAATGGAGATTATTTTGTAAATCCTTCTGTGAGGATAACTTACTTTTTTCCTATATGGAAATGATAAGGAGATGCTATAGATCTCACCTGCTTGTCTACAGACAGTATTTTGCCAAATGATGTAACATCCAGGCCCGTTATGACTCAATGAAGCACCTCTCGCTTCTGTCCAGTATGCTTGCCAGCACGTAGCTACCAATTTCCAGCTACTGGGTTTTCTTCTTAGGGCAACTGAAGCTGAGTTCACCTTGTTTTGACTGGTGTTCTCTTTGTGATTGTTACCCCACATACTTCGTTTCACATCTGTTGCTCCGTATTTTCCATACAAGGAATAAAAGCTTCTTAGAACCAGGTTAGTGGCTGGCAAGCCTGTTAGTTGATACTTATGTAAAACATACTTTACATCTTTTCTGCAATATTGCATCTCATGAACTTGCTGATATAAATCTTTTCATTTTTGTTATTATTTACATGAAAATTCTTCTCACTGTTTGAGGAGGCTGATGTTGTGCAATGCTGGTGGTCGAATACTTCTTTTAGTGCAGAGCAAACGTTTTCACACTTAGCTAATATTGTATATTAAGCTAACGTTTCGTAACGTAGATGTGCAGTTAATAATTCAGCTTTGGTAATTAGGCAGGTGCTGTGAGTACAAAACTAAACAGATGTCAAGGAATAATTCACTAGCTAAAAACCTCAATGTATTTTTCCCACTTAAAAATTAGAATTGATCGTACGTCTGGCAGCGAAACTTTTTATCGAAGTTTGTGGAGGTGTGCTGGGATTATGAATGCAGCATGTAACTTTGTAAGCAATTACCATATTAATAATTCGATCACCTAAGCTCCAAAGTTGACACATGTTAATGAATCCACTGCTTCCACAGTACATCCCCTCCCATCACTTTTATAAAGCTTTGATCAAAATTCCCTTTGAACTGACGAGAAGATGATTAGCATTTTAAAACTAAATAATGATGGCTCGCAATTTTGAAAAATCAGATAAGTTTAGCTCAGGTTGAAAGTACATGTTATGCTTGTCGTTATATGTGTGTGCCTACATTTTTTTTAGGACCTCAAGAGCAATATAAAAATGCAACTTGAGGTTTTTATAACGATAAACACTTTTTTTTTTTTTTTTTTAAAGGTAGAATTTGAGAGCTATTCGGAGGTTTTTTTGAAACATACATGGTATTGCTTGTGCATTTTTGTCCATTAAAAATGGTTTCAACAGGGATGGAGACCATCCGTGTTTAAGTGTTATTAGAGTCGGCGTACCTATGTGTTGTAAAGAATGCTGCAAAAAAACCACATGAAGTAGTAATTAGCTCTGGCAAAAATAACATTGAGACGTTTTGCGTGTTGATTGTGCTTTAGGATTAGGTTTAAAAGATGATACCTTGAAGTATAAGTCACCTGTTGCATCGAAAATTCCATTCGTTCGCTTGGCAATGCTAACTTAAGTCTACAACATTAAAGCTGTTCAGAGTTTCCAAACTTACAGTGATCTTTTAGTTTGAAAGAATTATAAAATTTAATGAGATTAATCTTTCTAGGATTTAAGAATTATTATTCTAAGAACTTTTTTTGAAAGTGGGAAGTTATTTTTTGCGAGCAAATAACTTGAAGTTTCACGTTTCCTCTTAATCCGCTCAAGATTACAGCCGAGCATGTACCTAGTAGGATTTTGGATTTGCAAGCTTTTGTTTTAATGAAAAAAGAAAATACATTGCCTTAAAAACGACTTTGAGGTAACAGTTAAGAGCTTATGTTTCAGCCTTTAAATGTGTACTTTTCCCTTCAGAAATGCAAGAAGATGGCCTCTTATGATAGATTCTCAGGGTCAAGCAAATAAATGGATAAAGAATATGGAAAAAGTCAATAGCTTACACGTGATCAAGCTCAGCGACCCTCAGTTTGTTACAACACTGGAAAACTGCATTCAGTTTGACAGTCCTGGTAAGTTATTGAATAATGAAAGTGTAAATTACAGGAAAACATGGAGAAGGCACAATGGAACTCTGGTGTCAAATTTTAACTATCATCGTTGATGTCCTCAATGCAGGTTGTAAGCTAATTCTTAGGAGAAAATGATTCTAATCCTCAGTTTAATTGGTATCTTTTAATTGCTCTGCAAGAACTATCTTTGTTTTCATGTTACAATCATATGACTTCTAAAAAGTAATGTTGTTTCTATTTATGGCTTTTTAAGAGTATGAATTACTCGAGCGCTAGGCTGTGATAATTTAATGATTCCCAGATTTGGCAATTTTACTGCAGCTGCCATACTGTTGTACCCTCAAACATAAACGGGTTAGTTAATAAAATACGTAATGATAATCACAGCTAATTTTAATTGGATAACTGGAGCTCGAGTAAAGAAATAGATTGTTTATTCTCTGTTATTTCTTTTTCAATTTTGATAATCTTGAAGTCTTGCATTGAGACAAGAAGGCAGGGATACTCAAAGTGATTTCTTTCAGTGGCACGTGGCGTATGATTTGTTGTTACATCCCTTTTTAAGATCGTAATTTTAAACTGCTGTTCTAATCCATCGGCAGCAATAATAGGAGATTCAGCTGCTTGTTTGAAAATAGATATAATATTAGGAAAAAAAGAAGAAAGTAAAAATTCAGTTCTTTAATTTGGTTTTCATTTGGCCGAATGCTCTAAGAAACGTTAATTAGATATGTAAATTTTGCCCGATTGATATTTTCACTTTTTGTGCATTGCTTACAAATTGCAAAAGACAATACTATACATTAAGTAGTATAAATAGTATAAATGCCGAGACGGCCCTACTAACGCTTACGTTGTGTTGAAATGCTTCTAGGGAATATCGGAGAAGAATTGGATCCTCTTCCAGAGCCACTATTGCTCAAACAGACATTTAAGCAGTCAGGAAGAGCATGCATTTGCCTCGGATACTCCACTATTGAGTATGCTCCCAAATTCCGCATTTATACTACAACTATGCTGAGAAATCCACGCTATCTTCCTGAAATATCTGCCAAGGTGAGAATTTTGAAAGTATAACTCTGTTTTAACTTGAGCGATTCCTTGACTACAGCAGGGAATATTTTCCGGCATTTGTTGAGTCTTCCTCACTTACAATTTTGTTTTCTTTTCGACACTGCTGGAAGACCAGTGTTGTATCTGATATCTAATACATCATCTTCCAATAACAATGTATTTTCATACTCTAAGAAACTGTTGATTTATTGTAACATCTTTTCCAGTCTATATCTCTTGATGCTCTCAGTAACCTTTATTACAAAAGCGTATTCAGGGATTTAATATAACATTTGCATTACATGCAAACTCTAATTAGACTTTCATATTCAAGATTCTATTTTGTAGTATAGGTAATTTCTGACATTGTGCCTCCTTTATGAAAGATATAATAATAAGAATTCTTAACAAATGCTAAAATCGGGAAATAATTTTTATATTTGAGGAACAAAAAAAAGCATTTTTCTGCTTTCAAGAATAAAACGGGTGGGTTTTTCATCTTAACATTACTTGAGAGAAGTATTGCACTTTTTCTTCATCGTTCCTTTTAAAGAGTTTTTAATTGAAAAATGTTGCAAATAGGTGCTTTGGCTAAAGGCTGTACTGAAACACAGAATCTTTGAGTCAAGCTTTGTAAACGTGATATTCAGCAATGTGGAAGGCTAAGTTAAGTTTCAACTGCGAAGGAGTACTGAAAGTGGGGGAAAAAAGCACAAAGATGAATGAAAGGGAATAACTTTTGTTCAGTTTTTTTATCAAAAAAGATAATTACTGTCAGGTTCAGGAAAAAGAAAAAAAGTTGAAATATAACAGGAAAGAGAGCTTACGAAAGATGTACTCTTAGACCAGTATGTATGTATTTAGAATTGTATGAAAATTATTTCATAAGAATTGCTGATAGTTAATAGAATTAAAATCTTCTAGTTGTCAATCAGCAATTGACACAGGGAGAAGAAGAAAAAAAAATAATATCTAAGTAACCTTGTCTGAACGTAATTGTAACACCCTTTGCTGTGATTATCCTGAAGGTCGCTCTGGAGGTAGCTAATGGAAAAAGAGTCCAGAGAAAATACTTATTGATAGGGCTATCGTATTTCATAGAAATGATCGTAATGAATTCTGATGTCTTATATAGCGAAGCCTTCAAAGACACACATAAAACGTATTTGCAGTACAGAGATATATTTGCAGTTATTAGTCATCCAGAGTATCTTTCCTGCATTTGTAAGAATATTTATTAGAAATTGTGTAATTCAAAAAGCACTAAAAAACCTCATGATTTTCAGCTCTAGGGACGCTGTCTATTCACGTGCGTTAAAAACATCATTACGGCCCTCTGAGGATAAGGAAGAATGCAGATCTTAACGTTTGCGCTTAGTCCTCAGCGATTCAGGTATCCGAGCCAGCCAACTTTTCAGAGCGTAGCCGCTCTGATCGAAAATTACCTCAGAGCTGCTCGTAGCAAACTTTTTGCTTTGAGGAAGAGAAATGGAGCTTCTGAAATGTTCCTGCTGCTTATAACCTTTAGATCTATATAATCTGTATATTTAGATCCCTCTATACGTTATGTATCATTTTACCAGTATTAAAATTCTAGAGAAGATGGGGGAAGAAAGTAGGCCGTGATGCTTGTGAAGATCATAATGATTCTTAGAGTCACGTACAACTGAACTTTCTCTCAAAATTCCCGTTTAAAAAAAGCAGTGAAAGAGCTCCAAATGAGGTGTGGTGTAAGGAATACCTATTAATGTTGTATTTTAAGAAAATGAGAATACTATCCTTCCTAACTTGGTAAGCGAAGCTCATAGAAAAAAGAATTGACAACTTTTCATACTAATAGAGCAAGAAGATTAAGACAAATTGACTGTACGGGTATTTTGTATCGTCACTAATCCCGAGGTTCAGGTGAACGTTTTTTTGGAAATACAAGCTAATGATCATCCGTACCTACCAAAAAAGCCCAGAGAGAACCTATAGTCTTACAGAATAGTTCCTTCAAGCAGAGACTTTAATCAGTGAGTTGATTTTCTTGGTTTTGATTTACGCACATCGAGGATTTTCTAGTCTCTACTGGTAATGTATTTTTTACCTTTTTCATACAAAACATTACATGTTTTTTGCTTTTTCAGCCAGAGCACATCATTTATCGAGTCAGCTATAAATATGTTATGGTACAGAAATTCTTTTAGTGAACAAGTTTTTAAAATGTCTTTTTTTTTTAATTACTGATTTTCTCAAGAGAAAACTACAAACTACATGAGAACAGGACAATTAAGGGGGGGAAAGTGTATATTGCTGGAGCAGCGTCAACTAAAAGTTAACTCCAGCATCTGTGTTTCCACTTACTTGACGAAAATTGCAAAGACTGATTATGAAGTAGTAAGAAGTTTTTTAAAATTCTAAAAAGTGATCTGTATTTGTATTTTTCTAAAATACTGTGTCGGCATCCCTTCTGCAGTGGGATGTTCAGATTGAACAGATCTGGAAAACAAACATGAACCAATGTATTTACAGAACTTGTGCATTAATTTGAATCTTCCATTCGTATAAATCTCTCTGAAAAAGCTACTTGAAGGCTAAAGGTATCGAAAGGGAAGACCCTTTTTTTAGGTGCAAGCGTTCATTTACATTTCGTGAACTGGTCACTTGAAGCATTAGAGTTTCAGTGTAATTTCAAGTGCTAACTTTCCGGTACACGATCTTAAACTCTCATCTGCTATTCATTTACCATCCAATTTTCGTATAATGCGTCATTATGCAATCCTCATCCTGTAAATGAGGAAGCATTTTAATTCTATATGATCAATTCTCAAAACATCTTCCTTCTAACAGGTAACGCTATTGAATTTCATGATAACTTCAGAAGGAATGCAGGATCAGCTTCTTGGAATAGTGGTTGCAAGAGAAAGACCAGATCTTGAAGGAGAAAAACAAGCCCTCATCCTTCAAGGGGCTGCAAATAAAAGGTATGAAGATAATTTCCCTTGCTAGGGACAGAAGCAGATTGCAGTTTAGGAAAATCAAAATCATTGGAAATACTTTTCAGAGGCATTTTTAAATTGTTCTATTATTTAGGTCTGATTTAACTGGAAATTCAAGAGCATGATTTTTGAGAGCCCAGACTCAGCTTGTTTGGCTTTTAGACTGATCAGAACGCACGGTCTTTCTCTTACTCGTACCGTTTATGGCTTTTTGTCACAGACACAGTTTGCTATCTGTGGGATTGTAATAAAATATTGAAGAAGTTAGGGGGATGTGTCATCGTAGAGCAAACTCCTGATCCTGTCTCCTGTCTTTACATGTCCCTTTCAAGTTGTTATTAACATGATTTGCTGTCCTCACAAACGTTGATGTTTTACAGTGGTTTTGTTTCCCACTGTGCATTATATTTGCTATTATTGCACATGCGGAAGGGATCTTTGCCCGCAGATCAAAGCATGAAACGTGTAGCATTCAAAATGTTGTGACACATTCTCCCTTTGCAGTGTTTATTTGGAGTCTGAAATTAGCTTATTTTTTCTGAAATTTAAGCCAACCCTTAATAACAGATACAAAAAAGTTTTCTTACGTAAGTTGCATACCGTGGCAAGAATCTACGTGTAACCTTCTTCTGTAAAACTAGCAGAAAATTGCCAAAATTAGTAAGCAAAAAAAATTTGTATTTTACCATAGGCAACTAAAAGAAATAGAAGACAAGATTTTAGAAGTTCCTTCGGCTTTTGAAGGAAATATTTTTGAGGCTGAAACTGCTATTAAAGTATTGTCTTCTTCCAAGGTTCTGGCTAACAAGATTTCTGAAAAGCAAGCTGTAGCTGAAGAAACAGAAAAGAAGATTGATGCCACTCGTGTGGGCTATCGTCCTATTTCTGTCCATTCATCAATTTTATTTTTTTCTATCACCGATCTAGCCAACATTGAGCCGATGTATCAGTACTCTCATGTGGTTTATTAGCCTTTTCACCAAGTCTATAGATAACTCAGAGATATCAGAAGATTTACAAACAAGGTAAGAGGGATAATTTGCCATTTGTAATTGGTGACATTTTCGGTTAGTCTAGAAAAGTTATTGCCATTTCTGCGAAGCGTGTCCTGCAAAGCGTCACGTTCTGAAACATTCCTTGTAAATATCTGCCGGATATTTTTCTGGAAGACAATTTCTTCATAGAGACAAAATGGCATGATGTAATAGAAGTGCGTCATATTTCGCTATTTTATTTAGTAATTATAACTGTAGCCACGTGTGAAATTGCAAAGCAGCAGAGCGATTAAAATGGTCCGCTCACCTTAATTTTGTATTTAATGTATTGACTTTGTATGCCTTCCCAAAGCAGATAAGAAACATTCACGCAACTGGTAAAAGAGAATGAAGTCTTGCATCTGGGGCCCTAGGCTGTAGAGTAGGAAAAGCAGTAGTTATTAACCCAGCAAATGTTGGACTGTTTGATTACAGTTTTGTATGCTGGTCGTCCCTCCCTCTTCCATTTTTTCTTCACGAGAACGGGAGAAACTGCAATCTTCAATGATCTAATAAAGCAAGCCCTGAATTTATTTTAAGTGTGATTGATTAAGGTTGCAGTAGGATTTTTCAAAATATAATACTGAAGTGAATTATCTACACGGAGATTTTCTTAAGAGATCTTTTCAGTATTCCATCAATTCAATTAATAAATTATATTTCGGCTTCTCCAGATCTGTGGATTAAATGCACGGAGCTTTGCTTTTCTAGCTTAGCTACTTCCGTGGTCATTCAATGAATGAAAGACAGCGGAAACTACTGCAGAAAAAACAGTTGGTGTTACAGATTACAATTTCTGAATTATCTGTGACAGTCTGTGTTTCATCTAAGTAGAAGTAAGGTACGGTTCCTAGTAAGGTAGCGCTTAACGTAAAAGCGTTTGTTTTAATGGTGTACTGAGTTACGAAGGTTATTTTTTCATTAGAATTTAGTGAAGGTCTGTATAGTTCAATGTTAGCATACCCATTTTTATAAAAAATGCTATGCATTCAAGTCAGACTTAATATTTTCTTAACATATTTGAAACTACGTTCAACTTATCCTTCTCCCAAAAGACAGTCTGCGTTCTATACACCTGTCTCTTGGACTTTAAATTTTATGTGTTCTTGTCTCAAAAAAGCAGCCACACGCGCCTATGTTCCTAAATCAAAGTCAGCGAGCGATAAGACAAAAGTTTTTTACTTAGTTTATTTGAAACAAAAACTTTGTGCTAGCAGAAATCGGAATTCCAGCTGACAGTGTGCATTCCCAGGGCACGATCGGTGTAAGCTCATTTTCACAGCTTTGCCCATCAAAGACATAAAAAGGCAGACCTGCCAAAGCACAGAAAATTCTGTCAGTTAATAATTCACATGGGATTTTTTTCCTGGGTCATCTCCACTAATCAGGTGGTATTTGCTACTACATGCTCTGAGGTTTTTATATTTTTCTTCATTCTTTCTGTGTTTGACATAATTGTATGAATGCAGATGCTCGGTTTCTAACCATCTGTATAGGTTTTTCATTTCTTTTTGGCTGTTCTAACGTAATTCTTCGTGAAACGATGACTGATAAAACTGCATAGATGGATTCCTTCTTTATTTTATTTAAAGAAAATAATTAACAGTCATAAGTTTTTCATATATTTGCAGTTATAGCATCTGTAGAATAGGAAATGGATTACAGAAGGTGATCAAAAGTCAGCGGTTTGGATTTGAACCATGGTATTTGTGTTCATAATGAATCTTCAGATCGTTGTTCTTTTCACCACTCCAAAAGGAGACCACTCATTTTTTTGGCAAAATGTGTCGGCGAGTCCTAATTTTGGTTTTTGTTATTTTGGTCAGAAATCAGTACCCCAATTTAATGATTCTTTTGAGGCTAATTGACCAGAGAATTTCTTACAAGTAAGGGGATCTAATTTATTTGTATTAGGTTTCAAAAATGCACAGGTCTTAAGCATGATATTAATGGAAGAATGGTTCTTTTCCTGACACCTGTAGGTTGAAGATTCTTAAGGATCATTTCATTTACTCTTTTTACACCAATGTCTGTTGGTCACTGTGTGACAGTGAACATACGCTGGTCAAGCTGCTCTTCTCTTTTTGTCTAACTGCGAATCTCCTGAAATATGACAAAATGGTAAGTAATTAAAAATAATCCTCACGTTCAAACGACCAGCCGTAAGAAGTGAAAGGATAAAATAGGAAAATAAGCGTATACTTAATAGTAATATTTAATCCAGAATTTTGTTGTTTGAGTTCAATAAGCAATCACGAGAAGCGAAAAAGATTCTCTAGAATAAAATAAATTTGTCGTAAACGGGTGTGGCAAAACCATACAAAATGATAATAACTTTTCTGGATATTATTAAAACTTAAGTCTGCCCTATACTATTCTTAAGGTTAAGTTTTTACAAAATTTTACTCTAACATATTCCGAATTCTAAAATCGTATAAAAATGAATTGTGAGAGGCAATTTAAGAAATAAGTCATTTTCACTTAAAGCGTTAAATGTTGTTAATTTTTTTACAAGGAATTGCTGAAAGCAAACGTGAATTTTGTTTTTACTAATTCTTTACAAAATATTTTTTTATTAGGATTTTTTTCTTTTTTTTAAATTCACGTTGAAATATACTCACTTCAACCTCAATATCCACAAAGCAGTACTTCTTAATATTGCTCGGTGGTTTCACAGTATCACGGAAGCATTAGAATGAATACTTTCAAGAGCTGACACAGCTATGGACAAGCTGCTTCCATTTACAAAATTCAAGCTGTCAAAGTTTTGAGAAAAAAGAATGAGACAGGTAATAGACCAATAGTTGGACTCTCATTATAGTAAAAAGTTTTCAAACTGTGTTGTCCCACGAAGTATTTCCAGGATGGGTTTTGGGTTTATTTGCTTTTTCTGCTTCAAAATGTTGGGAATTAAGAACAAATCTCACATTGTCTTAAACTGCTCATTCCTCCAATTGAAAAACGCAAATTTAAATCCTCTTAAAATCAGCTTTTATGTTAAGTTTTCCAGTTCCTCAAATTCATTGTTAACTGAAAATCAGACACTAATTGCTTCAGGTAGGAATCTTTTTCAACTGGTCTAAGAAATTCCATAAGCATGGTGATTTCCTATGGAGCATATTAAAACTATCAGATTTTATTTAGTTAGTTCTGAGAGCAGCATTTTTCCCGCAGATTAGCGAGGATGAGTGGAAATTCCTGTTGACCGGTGGCATAGGCTTGGACAAGATAGGATGAAATCTGTCAGCTGAAGACTTGCCGTGCTTCGCTAACATTCATCAGGATTTTACGTGACTTAAAGACGGATGGAAAACTGTGTACAACAGCTTGGTACGTTAACATTCCCAATTGCTTTCTTCCATAAGCTAATTAACGCATCAAATACATTTATTTTGAGAAAATGAAGTATTGTCATTTTACAGGGTTGGTTTCCGCATATATGAAAGTAAAAATTTAAGCAAACGGTGTGGAGGGGCAGATTACTGCCAGTTTGTCAGGTGGCTACTGAATAGCAGGTGACAATTTGAATTGGGCTGGAGTAAAAGAAGGCAAAACCTGTAGAAGTAAGGCGACAGTGAAATTAGCTAAATTCGTGTCAGCCACTGCTGCCTTATCAGTACGTCCATTTGTTCACCAGGCTTTGAGGATGCCTTTTTGTACCGTTATATAGGCATTCAGCTTTTTTGGGTAAATTTAAAAAACAACGGCAACAAAAACAACCGTAACGTTTTAGAAGTACTCAAGTGGGATTCAGGAGACCTGCATCCTATTCCAGAGTGACAGATAGGCACAAATGATTTCTTTAAACATTTTCATTACTGTTCACTCAAAATTGAGCCCCTGTAGATGACTTACACTCCACTTTTAGGCACTTGCTTTATCTTACTGTCAACTTTTCTCGGCGCTTGTTTTACCATACCGCTTCTCTTCTGCTTTTAGTTACACCAAGCTCTCACTGTACACACAATTCCTGATCCAACTATTTTAACAACTACTATTAAAAACTACAGCTCCTTCAGTTGTCCAAGATAGCAGGAAGCAGGCAAATAGTAGAAATTAAGCTTGCCTTAAGCATTTACATAACTTACACGGTAAGTTGAGAGCTTCAGTTCATCTTTCAACACTAGCCATTGAGAAACCGAACATGGAAATTACAGGCTTTAAAACAGAGGGTGAGGAGACTATTTCATTATCTACACTAAGATTACACCATTTTAAAGTAAAGGTGCTGACTTGCAGAAGAAAAGAATCAGGGTCCACGTACTGACCGCTAACCGCATTCAAAGAGACAAACTGAAATAAACAGAAATTTCTTCACTTAAACATCATTCAAAAAAATAAGATCTACACTGTCAGGTCATCAGTTAAATGATTTAAAAAAAAATCTAAACAATTAGTAACACCACAACTAGGACCACCATTACTCAACCCTGAACGGTATATACATTGCCTGTCCCCATCTTGATCTGGAAGAGGCGTTAGGCCTCTTACTCATTATAAAAGTATTTTCTTTCAGCATCCAGCTTCAACAATAATACTTTCCTGTGAAAGCACTGAAATGTTGAGAAGTGCTAGTTAATGGGTCTCAGTAAGCATTTTTCTCTGGTAGAGGCCATCTTTTTCACCAGTACGGTTTATCCCCAGCAACGCACAACCAGGCAAAGGGCTGTTTTGTCTACAAAAGGAGGAGAAAGAGGGTGCAAAATGACTTCAAGCACCCTCGTTGTAAATAATGAATGATGAATGTAGCTGTCTCAAGATCATCAGAAAACTATTTGACGTTTGCTTCTCCTACTCTTGCAACTCAGGTTTCTTCCAAAAGCAGAGAAGACCTGACTTGAGCTCCCTGCTCCAAGAGTTCCATGTATTTTGACTAAAGCTAAGCTCTATATGTTAGAGCAGGGACCGAAACTTGGTTTCCCCCAGCCAGCCGGCCCACTTAACCTCAAAGCTTACTGCTGCATCTCTGCTTCTCGTGGAGAAGCAAACAGTTTTTTGGCAGTAGCGCAACTCATTACAGTTTTCGGTGCAACCTTCGCTCATTAGCATTTCTTAATTTTCTCAGTGATACCAAACTAGTACTGTTTTAGCTGTGCTCCTAAAGAGTTGTCAGCGTTTTCACCATGACATACCTATTTCCCCCATATATTAATTGAAAAATAAGATTAGAATCTAGAATGCTGCACTAAGTGCTAAGAAATCATGGAGAGGTTCAGAGTCCAGGCCCTTTGAGGAACGCAAGCTCCATCGCAAATGGATTTGCTAAATCAAAGTTGCTCGGAACCTTCAATCCATGTAAAGTGCCCGGCCCTTAACATGCAAGCCTAAGTTGCCCCGGTGCAGCCATAACACCAGTGGCCAGTTAGCGTTGTACTGGATTAAGTTAACATACACCGCACGCTCATTGTTATTCCAGTCTAGTAACTGCTGTCACGTAGCTGGAATATTTATAAGCTGCTCACAAAATAAGTTCCGGAGCATTCTTTGACTCGGTTTTTCTGTTCAATTTCACTCAGATCCGGCATAAATACCGATTGTCATATAATAGCGTAGCATTTACTGTACCTCATCTCTCACCTGCTTTCTTCCTAGAGAAGAGAGAAACTGGGGTCATTACATTTTAAATACCTGAAAATTAGTGGCTTCTCTGCTACAGTAGATGCTCCCTAGATATACTTTAAGTTATTTACCCTCATTTAATGTTTTTCCTTAAAAAAAAAAAAAAAGTCCCATTCCCGCAGATTTTTAAGAAGTCCATCATGAATTGATGTATCGAGTTAAGATAATCAGCAATTCACATAATTCACAAATGCTTTAGAGAAAAATGAAATATTTATGTTTATAGGATGCTCAGCACAAGGATTTTCCTGCAGAGTGGCAAGCAAAGTTGGGCGAATTCTAAAGGATGCTCATCATGCGCTGTATGAGACCTGACAAGGTACGTACAAGGCTACCGCCTTATTAAAAAAAAAAAAAAAAAAACAACCATGTGTATTTTAGAAACAAAAAACATTTGCAAATATGCATTTCAACTGAGTTGCTGCGGTTTAGCCCCAGCTGGCAGCTAAGCTCTACGTGTACGCTTGCTCAGTACTCACAGTGAGACGGAGGAGGGAAACGGATGTGGTAAGACTGTGAAAGTTCATGCTGAGGTAGTCTGTTCACCAGGTAAAAGTCACGGTAAGATAAATGCTGTTGTTTCAAATGTACCCTCTCCTCCTTCTTTACCCTAGATTTTACATACGTAACAATAAGACACGGAATATACCTTCGGTTAGTCTAGAAACTAGCCATGTCTCCTCCCAGAAAAGTGTAATGAGCAGACTTATTAACATAGAAGGATAGGCCTTGAGTTAAGGATAGGCCTTGAGTTTTTTTTTTTTTATTTTTTTACGTTTCACTGCATACACCAAAATCTCCTGAGCATTTCCAGCTCAAGATTATCTTACGAGCCTAGTGACTTTCCTTTTTTATTATGTCTGACAACTTGGCTTGCGTAAGTTTTTCACATTGCTATTCAAGGTCAATTAGACTGGTGTAGGAAGATAATTTAACAGTAGAGTAGACTGTTAAGTAGTAATTACTGCAGACACCCAGATCCATTTTGTTCTACAGAAAGTATTTTGATTCAGGACCTTAACGAGCGTCTGGCTCAAAGACTCGAATAAAGCGTAGATCGCAACAGGTACTTACCATTAGTCATCTTTATTCAAAAGTCACCCCACGAAAAGCAAAATAAGAGTATTCACTTACATATTTATCATACATTCACAGGTTAATGGGACTAGCATTAGCCCATGTCTAGCCCTGAGAAAAAATTTTGCAAAAGAGAGAAATAAATCGGTTGCTACTTCTGCTCTAGAGAGCCTATTTAGAAATTCTCCACGCTTCCTCAAACTGCTGTTTAGCTTAATATTAGTATTTGTACTAGAATAAAAATATTTTTACCATATAAAGAGAAAAAAAATGTCAGAGTCATATTCAACTTCTGGACTCGTCGTATGAGCTTTCAGAAGGTTGGCAAGTCAGATCAGCTTGGGTGGGCGCCGGTGGCCATGGCGTATATCGATGTTTGGAGACAAAGTTATCTACGAGGCGCTTCCTAGTTGCAGCAACTTCTTCTTCAAAGGCATTTATTACGATTCTGCCGGTTTTGCACTTAAAGCAAAGCAAAAGATGGAGATTTTCATATGAGTAACTTAACTATGTAATTTAGAGGGGTTCAGAACTTAGATCCTCAAGAGGTCATTTATCCGCTACTGATCTTAGCTTAGAAGTATGCTTTCTAGGAGCAGTACCACTGTCTGAATGGCGTATAATGGTCCGTCAGGTGATTTGTACACGTGTCACCATCAATTCAGAAACTTTTCCACCAACCTCGCGACTGGGGTTCAGTTCAGTGATTTTTATTTTTATTTTTTTAATATATTTAGCAAACTTGTAAGTTGCAAGCCCATTGTTTACACTTTAAATCGCTTCGCGGAGAGTGCCTTGAATTTAGTTTTAGTTTAGGTAATAACTTTTTACAATTTGCCCACCTTCTGAAGTATCGGACCGCTTCCAATAAAGCAGACTGCTCCTATTTTTAGCTATTTGAGCACTATTTATTCTCGATGTAATCTTGACAGCCACCAGGTATGTTTTCAATAGGAGACCTTGTAAGCAAAATAAAGATCTACTGCGCAAAGCCACAAAGAGCTTAGATGACAAATCAGGGGCACAGTTAGCACTCCCCATCAGACAGTTTGGCTCACTTTGTTCTTTATTATTATCCATAGAATTAAGAGAGGGCATATCAAAGGCCATTAATTCAAAAAGCTCAGATACATGTGCTTCAGTATACGTCAGCAGCACAGCCCGCACAAATACCGTAGGGACGATCAGAACTCAAGAACCGTGACTCATTCGGAAGAAGCTTTAAAGTCTGATAGCGTAATTACACAGCGATTCTGTATAAAGCTAGAGACAAAAAGCAGCAGTCCAACCAAGTCTTATTTTGTCAGGTGTCTTCCTTCTGAGAAAAGATAGAGCTGCTAATTGTAGTTTCCAGGAATGACTATCACACACCGAAGTTCATTTTTCTACTGTAATGAGTTGTTGGGTGAACAATCTGAACTAAATTAAGTGTTCTTCCAGAAGCTAGACAGTAAACTATGTTTGGAAGGGCTAGAGGTGCAGGTTACTTAGCAAATAAGGCATTTTAATTGTCAATTCCAAATTAGTCCCATTCTGGCATTAAGCCATCATTCCCTCCCCAGCATTCAACCATCTTCAGAAAGGAAAGAGTTGTGGGTTTCTTTTTTGTTTTTGTTCGTTTGTTTTTAAATAGTTCAGCTTTGCATTTTAAGATTATTCAGTTAACACTTACAAGGAAGGTTCTTAGCCGCATCATCTCCAGCATGTAATACTCCTCCATTGTCAGATCATTAAACTGCTTAGTAAGAGATAAAAATCCACAGCTACGACGTTTGGCGTGTTCCTCCCTGCAGTGTGAGCCCAGAACAAGAACGGGTATTAAAACCAAGAAAATTGCACTTCAAGACGTGTAAAAAGGAGACAGATTTCTTCAGTATTTCTGTCTATGGGCAGGGAGGCATTTAGCAGATAACATCTGAAATGTAATTCAGCCTTTGTTAGATAAAAACCAGTTGAGCAAGGAACAGCGCGAGGCAAGATCTAGGCTGATTTTACAGCATTGATAGAAATTATTTTCCGCTTACCAAATCAAAAACGTTCTCTTTGGATGCAAGAGAAATGAAAAACCATGCAAAGTATAATTATCAAGTGCGTCAAGGTTTAAGATAGGATAATCTTTTGGTAGGCTTCAGTTTAGATAAATTCTAGGAAACTTGTTAATTTTGTAATACGTAAGGGGGCGTTGTCAAGAACATTTAGAGAAATATTTAACATGGTTAAGCCTACGCTTACCGTGGGTCATCATTAGGCTCCCAGCCCTCCAGCTCTATCAAGCAAAAGAAACATTTTGCTACATCCGGTTCATTTGCACTTGGGCAGTGGATAAAGCCCGCCTTTGCCATCTGCAAGAGACAGTTCAGAAGTTTAGAAATTCATTCAACACACGGCTCGTGCTCACAATGAACTGTCACAAAGAACTTTTGGTAATGTCTTTTTCTGCCGCATCTATCCACACAGATCCAGCTGAAAAAAGTTTTAAGAGAGAGAGCAGCAAGCGGACACATAATTAGTAAAGGAACAAGGAACAAGGAAAGGTCTGGACTAGGGAGCAAGTTTCTACACAGTTGTTACTTTGGCAGGCTACCTGAGTACCTTTGGTACTTCAGAGATTAGCCAGCTCATCTACAGATGCATTCTGCTATCTGTGCACATAATCTGCTCTAGATAAGAGTTTTTTGTTTTTTTTTTTAATCCTGGGAAAAAAAAAAAAGCATAGCATGAGGCTACTGCCACAGAAAACCCTTTCGTATAAGCTGCATGAGTTGAGTGCTGTACTTTACTATCAGTTTAGAACAGCATCTAGTAAGAAAACTGAAAAAGAAGTTGGTTTCAGTTATCAAGATTCACCTCTTAGACAATTTCCTTAGCACAGTTTAGCTGAGATTTAACCCAGTTGTTTGATACTTGTGCCAAAACAGAAGCTTGGTCTCCTGTTTTCAGCTCTGAAATTGAAGCTTACAAGGATGTAAGCATTAAAGCATTAAGTTTACTAAAATTATGATGATTTTATTTTTTGATATTAGATTCATGTAGCAATCATTCCACTACTTTATCCTTTCCGCTAGATGAAGTAGAACAGTCTTCTAAGCTTCTTTCCAAAAAGAGAATCTGCAAGTAGACACACAACATAATATAAGAAGTAATCATAATTTTAGAATATAAAAAATTGTAGGTAGATCAGCAAACTAAATATATAAGCTTGTAATCATTCTGCTGCAGTATCTCAGAGTACAGGCAAGTGGGACCACCCAGCCTATCATCTCAGGTTAAGTAGAGGCTCACAATACTTCTTGAACATAAGCATACTAACATGAGCAACTTCATTTTCATAGCGTATCAAAAACAGGACAAGGTTAAAGTATCCTTTATCAGACTCACATTCTCTGGAGAGCACTTGCAGTTCTTCACAAAAGGCCAATTAGCAAAGGTCTTTAAGCGATTTTCATAATTGTACATCTCTTTAAACTCACTCAGAAGTTTTGAAGCTGAAAGAAGCTCTTCCAGAAGCGTCTCCATCGGTGCAGGCTGTAGGGAGCGTATGTCAGAGCTCCTGTCTTCCCAGGTCTCCAATTTAAGGTATTTTCCTAATTGGTGACACGCTACACCTGTGAAGCAGAGCTGCTTTAAAGTAAGTGAGAACATATGGGTGAGAGCAGGAGCGTGAAGAGTGAGAAACAAGTCTGCTTTTGTTTTAGGTATGTAATCATTATTTATTTGTTTTTTCTTACTGTGTTTTTATAAACTGAAAGAAATGTGTTTTTTTATGTATGTGTGTATTTATTATTGCATTGATTTATAGCTGTTTTGTTGAAAATGTTTGTGAAAAGCTTATAGAAATGTAACAGTTTTGTGTAGCTTTCATGAAGAAGGTCTTGAAAGCATACAGGTTGCAATAAAAGGGGTTGAACCAGTACTGGTGTTTTTGGAGTGTTTGGGATTATTTGAATTTCAAGTTAAAGGGTTAAAATCTTGTGTTGTTTGCTGATGTTGTTAGATTTTTGTAACAATGAGTTGGTAATCATGTAATATTCAGTGTGTTTTAAGGTATATTGGTCAAGAGAAAGAAAACAAATGATAGCTTATAAGAGAAATGTACCTGTAGATGTTTACAATTGATTAAGTTTTAAATGGTTTTCTTAAGGACTGTTTGTTATATGTGGTATTGTGCTTATTTTACAATAATAAAGTAAAGGATAAAAATAAAATCAAGTAAAAAAAAAAAAAAAAAAAAATAATACTTCCACCAGTCATCTAAAGGATATCATTTTATGCTGCAGTTTGCCAAAGCCGGGTACTATGTCTTTTGAAACAACTGCAATGAAAGTATTTAAAAAGTAAAATGCTTTTTGCAATACAAATAATACGCACGCGGGCGGGCTTCCAGGTCCTTGCATCCGCACGTTACTCTGTTCAGATGCAGGGCGGAAATGATATCAAGGGTCAGTTATTTCAGCCGCTGCAGGGCACGTCTTTATTACAAGATTATTTTGGTGTCACTTCATACATGTTAAGTTATTTCTCTAGGACTCAATCGGTGCTTCGTTGTTGGTGTAGCAATACTCTCCTTGTGGTTTATAGTAAACTGTTTGAAGTGGCGTAGTAACACTTGCAAAACAATGGGACATTCAGATTTCTTTGTTTCTTTATTTAGGTAATGCCAATAGTGTAGAAATACATCATTTACCACCTGGGCTATCAGTTTGTCGAGAACCGGTATTTATTCTTTTCCCAGGAGCCGACCCTATGGTAGCACTCGTTAAGTTTGCTGACGATCAGGTATTGTAATATCTCCTGTTTTTTTTTAAGGTAGACGATGCGTTTCCGTGTGCATTCGCGTGTTTGTATAAACAGCTAATTGAGTAGAAATTGAAATGCTAAAGCAAGCTCAGAAAACCGTTTTGTCTCAGAACACGTTGAAAGGGGTCTCGTGGTTTTCCTTAACGGGAAACATTAACTGTCAGATAGAGTAGTAACACAGCATCTTAAGATCGTGGGTGGTGTTTGCACTTTGAAGTTAATTACGTGCATTCTGACTTGCTTTGATTATGATGGTATTTAAAGCAAACAAACTAGCAAAAAATCCTAGCAGTAGAAATCAGCACTTCTGTAAAAGAGGGTTGTTATTTCTAAAGCTCCTAGGTTTCCTGGAGATAGATTTCTTGCACCACTCGCTTGCGACCACCAGCGTTCTTAGCTGTTGAGCGGCAGCGAAGGAAGGAACATGGATAGTTCTGCCTAACTGCCGTTCGGGGAGCTCACGTATGCCCATGCCGGAAGGAGCGTATGAGGTAAAAATAACTAATAGTTTCAGTACGCTTTTGAAAGTATACATTTGAGGCTTGTAGGCAGTTCACTACGCTTGATGGCAATTCCCATTAATTACTTGGAGTCGCCACGTCAGTTCTGTCTTTGTCCTTCTGGCCGCTGCAGCAGAAAGCGTCCGCAAACGGGGCGGAAGCGGCCTATTTCTGAAACATGAAATCGAGCGCTACAGCCGCTTCCTCAGGCCGAGAGCTTTTGTGCGCGTCTGTCGCTGCAGGTTTGCAAAAAATTATCAGAGTACAGTTCTTGCTTACCATTTGCTAGAGTTCTTAATGCATTTTGGATGAGTAGGTATTATCATTGTAGCTTTTGTGAGAAGAGATATACGACAGTAAATATGCAAAGTACATATGCCGTTGCTGTTGAGGTGCACACGGGGCACTTCGTTTTCGTTCACGTGTTACACAAAGAGCAAAAATTTCAGTTTGGTATTCCGCAGCCAGGAATAAAAGCGCTCCGGCATCCAGGGAAATGAGAATTGTCTTAAGTTTGAATCTCATTATCGTCGCTTGTGAGACTTTCAGAAATTCATACATCTAACTGGAATAGTTTCCAATTTCCTGAAAAAAAGTTGCATAAATAATAACAGAGGAGATGTGTGTTGGTCTGTCAGGAGATCTACGCTATAAGATCTACGCTATAAGAGGGAACCATCAGTTGTAAATAGTGGTTTGTTAAGGTTTTTAGAGAACGCTGGTTGACTTTAAATTAGATGATAGCAATAGTAACGTGGCTGTCGGGTTAAGTTACAGGTTGTGGCTGAATGTTTTTTGTTTTTTGTTTTTTTCTCTAGGAGGTGCCATACAATGCTTTTTGCTACACGACCAGGGAATGTAAGTATGTCGGGAGAGTCACTGACAACTGGGATCGCTGTGTACTACTTAGCGTTTTGAAGACATTTTTCTCACCAGAAGTCATTACAAGTAGAGATGATGAATTTGATTCGAGCGGCCTTCGCCGTGTTCTTCCTGAAGGTGAGGTAAATATCTGAAAGTTGCAAATTTACTAGAAGCTTTCTTGGAATTAAGAGCTGGCCTAATTGAAGCAATACTGCATATATGATTATATATATATATATTTTTGTGTGTCTGTGTGCATATATATACATATACACATAGATATATATATATATGCACAAATGTATACAGAAAAATATATGTGTATATAAAATGCATGTGCTTAAGCTTTTGTTGAGTAGTGCTTCGTTGCTGGTATCATTGGTAGCCCTTTAGTTACTGGTAAGGTATGGAAATAATGGTAAAGAAGGAAGTGAAATAGTAGTCTGAATTAGTACAGCTTTGCGAAGTGTGCGGCGTGCACAATTTGGTACACTTGGAGCTCGGTGGAGTGACTTAGCTTGCTTAGGTCGAAAGGTTGTTAAGCTTGTGTAAGAGAATGTGTTGTTCAGGGTTGTCTGGTGGCAAGGACCTTGTAATCAATAAGTTGATGAAACAGCTGAGTTAACAGAAGACTCAGAGCAGCACCTACCTGCAGGGGAAGCTCAGCAAGTGGAGGACTTTGTTTCCTTGTTTTAGTGAGGGCAGTGTTGATTACGAATCAAGGGAGTAGCTTAGAGGAAATTTAGGGGTCCTTTCAGCTGCTATATAGTGTTAACTGTTCATGTACAGTCTTGGGATGTGTATCTTTTATTTTTAGATACTGTGTGCAAGTTGGGGTTCTAGTGGTTTTGAATGGTAGCTTCTGCAGTATTAAATTCAAAACCTTTTTCTTTTGAGTAAACAAAAATGAAGTGTTAGGTCAGGGCAACTTTTTTTTTTTTCAGTGTTTTCTGTTACAACATTTCTAATGTATATTACAGTCTAGGGTAGCTGGTACAAGTGCCAAATCTATGTATTATGTTCATGATGTTGTTTATGATGTGACAGGTGACATCTGGAGTAAACTTCCCTGTGACTTGGACAATGTGAGGAGAAGATAATGGACCACTTCAAGTGACAGTATGAATCACGGAATGGTGGAATTGTAGAGTCACAATGTTGGAAACAATGTGCAGGATGATCCAGTACAACTGTGTGTCACCATAAGCACTCAACTATATCATGCAGCATGTTGTCCATGTGTCTCATTGAGTGAGTCTGGGAATGGGACTATGTGTATATAATTGTGTTCCTATTCCAGAAATGGGACAATTCAACAGGAATCAATAATAAAGTGTCAATGTACAGAAACACATGAGGGGACATGGAATCTTGCTGTCTTTCATATTCCATAACCATATTTCTGCACATAACTGGGTGATCACGTTCCTTCGTTCCTTCGTTCCTTCGTTCCTTCGTTCCTTCGTTCCTTCGTTCCT